GTGAACGGTAGAGATCCCCCTGACGTCACTCGAAAGAGCAGACCGTTATGTGCCGGCTTCAGGATCCACACTTTCCAAATTACTCAATTGGGATTACACAGCAGCAATAATCGGCCCCTACTGGCAGACGAACGCCCGCTCGCAGGCCAGGTGCTGAGTCGCTTGTTGCCACACAGGGACAGCTGCCACTGGGGATACCCTTAGCGGGGAAACTGGCTCAACGGGATCATGAACAAAGACGGTCGCCGCATCGCGCGCTTCCAGATGCGCTTCTGCGACCATCTGGAATGCTCTTCCCTCCGATATTTGTAATCCACTGGAGCTATGCCACTTTTGAATCTAAATTTAAAACTAATTTCTTTAGAACTGTCTTTTGTGTTTAGTAGTTTGTCCTTCCCGCACTTTCGATTAGCACGGTTGGCTACGTACAGTTCGAAAAAAGCTCAACAAACATAGGTATATCAGTGTAACAAACTCAAAATATATAATAATGTAATTGTTAACAGCAAATACCCACGATAGGTGAGGCTGCATTTGGCTCAACGGGGGTGAAAAAGAAAAGTTGAATCGCTCATACGCTCAGAGAAAGGCGCAGCTCTGCAACTGCCTGCTCACGTCACTGCTGACGGAAGGGGCCTCTACTGGAGAGGCGCTCTAAGAGAGTGCTACTTTGCTGCACGCTGCGCCAGACTATCTTGGAAGAGGTGGGAGTGTACCCACACTTTACCCCAACCACGCGAGACCGTAATTACATGGCCAATCATGCGACGTGAAAAACGCGAGCGTGGCTATTTTAATAAATCCATCAAGAATTCATCAAAGGGGGGCGTTGTTTCATCGTAATGAGTGGTGGGGGCTGATGACGAGCAAGATGAATGAGAACGATAATGCCATTTACGTACCCAGTAAAGGCTTCACTCGTGCTGCCTCGCAGGAGGAGCCCTGCACTGAAATGTTTGGCCCATTCAACGTATAAACACAAAGGGTAGACACCAGACAAAGATCCCTCCGTGTAGCCTGAACAGACTGGAGGGGCCGACACGACACACGAGGGGGTGGATGGCCAACACCACGCCCGGCCACCTTTGTCTCTCCAGTGGTGATGTTTGCACACCGCACCAGGTACTCATTCAATGCTGGATCAGAGGACGAGGACCGGTTCCGATAATCGTCACTGGTGTTGACCGTGAACGGGAATCGAACTCTGGTCGCCGGGTTCACAGCACAGCGCGCTCACCACACATACACAGTACTGCACTTCATACGCACAAATGGACAAAACACAGACAAAGATCCCCGTATAGCCTTAATTGACTGTTGGGACAAGTGCTGTTAAGGCCAACATGGCGCACGACGATCTTGCGTGACACAACCCCATACCGGGCCACCTTTGTCTCACCAGTGTTGAAGTTTTTCACACTGCACCAAGTACTCATTTGAGACTGAGTCGACCTAGAGGAGGCCCAGGACCGGTTAAGATATTTGTCACTGATGCTGGCCGTAAGCAAGAATTTAATTCGGTTCTTCAGGTTTGTAGCGCAGCGCAAGGGACCACTACACCATCGCTCCTCATATACACATTTACAAGTATACGGTATATATAATTTTATATATAGGTGCTTTTTGTGTTTAGTTTGTTGTTCCCCAACTCGTGGACCCGTTTGTTTGCATGTTTTTGCTACAAGTAACGTGTGGTTAAGGCAGACTTGATGACCTGAACATCTTAACACCTCCTGTTTTATTGCCAAGATGGGTAAACGCCTATTCTTATTTTTCATAATTTTTTATACTGGCAAAAAGGCCCCATAGATATACTTCGTCAATTCCAAGTTATACTGAACGATTGTCCAACACAAACTCGACAGAATTGTCAATAACACTGCGGCCCTAAACGGAAAATATATAGGAGATAATTTAACACATAGGCTTTCGTAAACAATATTATTCGTAAAAAAGTTTTTTGGGGTTAGATCACTTAAATTGTAAATGTTGTGGTTTTGCTCTCCAACACACCGGTGTGCTGAAGTATTAACTGTCTTGTTCACGTGACAAACCTTACTGATTGGCTCTGTCGGGTGACGGTGATTTTACTACACATTTGTATTTATATTTACGCGACCTAACCCCAAAACCTTTATTATGAAAACAGGAGACGTTTCGGGCAATGGCTCTTCTTCATGGCACGTAAAACACGTGCTATGAAGATGGGCAAATGGCACGAACCATCGAATATATTGACAAACGTGTTAAGTTTATTCGTGTTTCTTGTTAACAGCAGCAGCACCAGATAACTGGTAAACAATTAGCATAACATCAGGACCGGCAATTATGGGACAGGATTAAACGTGGAAGGTGGTGACGTGACGTGGCCCTGCGGAGGTTCGCGGTTCGAATGTAGCGGCCGCCCTGATGAATACTGCGGTGTGTGCTGACCATACTAACACTAAGCGCCATTAGTTTTATTCAAAGTGAACGTTAGATATCCCCCTGACATCACTTGAAAGAGCAGACCGTTGTGTGCCGGCTTCAGGGTCCACACTTTCCAAATTACTCAAATGGCATTACACAGCAGCAATTATCGCCCCCTACTGGCAGACTAATTCCCGCTCGCAGCCAAGGTGCTGAGTCACCTTGTGCTCCACAGCTGCCCAACAGCTGCCACTGGGGGTGCCCTTCCAAATGTGTTGAGATGAGCTGTGTAATGTAAATTGCTCTAAGACGTCCTGTATCATCCACATCATCATTACGGCCAAATATATATGGATATATATTTTAAACGCATTACTATATGAAACCGTGGCACCATCAGCGGTTACTTTCGCATAGAAGCAGACGTGTAATATTACATGTACAGAACTCCGCGTTTGTCTCTCTCGCCCCTGTTCAGAGTGAGCGGACGGGGCGATACGCCGACGACTTGAATTCTCTGTTGGGCGATTGCGTTTCACATGGTGGTAGCGGCGTCCTGCCGGACAACCGCGTGATGCGGCCTCGCGTGTTTTTTTTTGTTGCGGTGGCAAAAACGTGGCGTTATTTCAGCTGAAGCAGCTGACGACCGTTGACGGCGCTGCGAGACAGGAACAAATTGGTCAGATAGGCTGATCCCCCCCACCCCAAGATTAGCGGTAATTACTATTACCGCGAGATATATACTCCGCGCGTTCAAATGCCCGTCTCTCCCTCTCTCTTTCAAACAACGGGTGATTGTTCTGACCACTGTTAGGCAGAGAACTGTCGTGGGTTTTTTTGTCTTATATGCCACTCAAAAAAAGTAACTGTTGTTGTTTCGTGTGTTTAGATTTATTCCTCTTGCAATTATATTGCAATTGAGCTATAGCTGCGTCCTGTCGGTCACGGGATGAAGAGCAATGTTCATTCAGAGCCCTCGCAGCTAGCAGTGCATCACCACGTGTCAGAGAAGAGCTATGCTGAAGATGATGTCACAGAACGACTTCCGAAGTCGTTGCTTCAGTCGGCCCGATTTGTTGGAGCCAGCTTACACTGCAGATAATTTATTGTTTTAACGTTGATTTATCTTTGTGCAATATTTAGTGATGTCCCATGTGGCGTGGTTCATTTTGTTCCGATTGCCACTTGCCTCATTACTGTAACTTTACTTTTGTTTTGCTTTTTTTAATATTGGTAACCCAGGGGACTCTAGCAAATTATTCTTGGTCTCCTGAGCTCTCACCTGGTTACACAAAATAAACGTTGATTAAACCTGCACCGGAGGCAGGAAGGGCTCTTTGTCGTCACGTGAAGAACATTTGTTGCATGTCAATAAAAAATGCATTTCAGAGCTGGGATTTAGGACAATTAAGGAAGGACCAAATATAATGCGATGGATTTATTTGTGCAGCCATGGGTGGCTTGGGCTGAGAGCATTAGGTTACTACTCTTGAAAACCCAGTCTCATCACAACTCCCGTTTCTGTGGGCCTTATGGGTCCCTATGCAAATCTGTAGATCTCTGTAAGAGTCTATAACAACAACCGCCGTTCACCACGAAGTGGCGGTGACATCACCACAACGCTTGTGCCACTTTGAGGCCGCGTGGAGTATCGAAGGGCCCTGGCAGGAAGTCACGGAACAGACCCAAGTGCCATTGGTTGTCCTTCCCCCGCACCTCTGATTAGCACGGTTGGCTAAGAAGTCCAACATACATACATACATAGATTTGCATTCATCATCAGCCATAGTCAATCCACTGTTGGATGAAGACCTAACCCAGCCACTGCCATCCCTCGCAGAAGTCTACGGAACTCTTGAGATCTTCAAGTTGTTGCACTTGAGAACCCGGTTTAATCACGCGCTGCGGGTGAAACATGGATTCAGGCCCAGGATCCCAGCGGTGCCAGGTCAGCACTCTGGCCGCTGTGTCACACGGTCACCTAGTAAACTTAACAATACCTCTGCAATATTGCTGTACAGAATTGACAGGTCTAAACCAAACAAAATGTGGGTGCATGTGGGTTTGTATACGTTTGGACAAGCGTGCATGGGATTCTCGCTCACGGCCAACCAACACAAGTGATAGCGATTATCTGAACTAGGTCCTTGGACCCTCCCCTCTAGGTCGACTTATCCCCAAATGATTACCTGGTGCGGTGTGCAAACATTGCCATGAGGAAAACAAAGGCGGCCTGGCATGGTGCTGGACTTAATTGCTGTTAGCGAGCACCACCACCCTCGGTCGCCTTTGTCTCCCAAATGCCGATGTTTTGCACACTGTACCACATACTCACTTGAGACTGAGTCGACCTAGGGGAGTCCCAGGACCGTTCGGATATTCGACATTTTTATGCTTTCAGCTGTAAGCGGTAATCAAAACTCGGGTTCGCCAGGTTATGCGCGCAGCGCGTTAACCACTGCACCACAGCTCCTACAAAAGCTATGTACGGTGCGAAATAAGTTTGACATACGTGCGCATCGTATATATGTACAGACAGCCACACAGGACGCACAGACACACTAAATCTCTGGTTTCACGAGGGGTCTCACCAATGGAAGTCCTGTAGGTTGGATGAGACCCATAGCAGCCACTTTGCACATCCGAGATGTAAAATGCATCCAGATGCTGCTGCTGCTGGTGATGAAGGTGCTGCTGCTGCTGTTGTTGCTGCTGCTGGTGGTGATGCTGCTGCTGGTGGTGGTCATCGTGTGAGTGATGAGTGGAGCTGTCTGTGTAGCCATGGTGGGACATTGAGGTGGGACCTTGGAGATGCAAGGAGGTTGAGTGGCTGGCGGTGTCCAGGGCTGAGAGTCCCGCGAGACCTCCGAGGGCTCCAGAAGAGTGTGGCTGTAGCCAGCGAGGTTGCTCCGCGTCCATCGCGTCTCAAGGTGCACCTAGCCTGGCACGGGCGCTGTTGTAGCGAAGTCACCGTCACTTCTATTTGAATTTCACCAGCTATGTAGCTCTTTTTCAGAAGCGACCTGGCCACAAATGATAGCCCAACGAAGTGGCTTGTCACGTGGAAATGTATTGCTGCCAAAAACCCACAGTGGCGAATGGCATGCGGTTTGTTGTTCTTCACCTGCACCTCCGATTAACACGGTTCGCTACGTACGGTGTGATGGAAGTTCAACATACATAGATACATACGTGAGATCGACTAGGCATCAAACGAGTACTTGGGGAGACAAACACGGTCGGGCCGTCGTGCTGCCCACCCACCTCTTCGTGTGCCGTCCTGGCCTTAATAGGTGCTCGCTAACAGTACGTGCGTGTCTTTGTCTAAGCTTGTGGCTACGGACTGTGTATGTATACGTGCGTTTACATATTGTAATGTTATTTTGTGTATGTATCAGTGTATGTGTATGCAGTATGTATGCGTGTGCTTACATATGGAGATGCTGGTTTATCTATCCGTGTATATGCAGTGTATGTATACGTGTTTACATAGTGTGACGTGTTCTCTGACAGCACTTGCCCCGACAGTCTGTCAATGCTCTATAGGGGATCTTTGTCTTTGTTATCTTGTGACGTGTATATGTATACATATATCAGTTCATTTATGAGGTATAGCCCTGAGAGCCATGCGGCTCTTGAAATGTGTGTGTGTGTGTTGTCTATGCGTGTATGTGTTCGCACTTTAAATATGTCTGTATGTATGAATCATGTTTCTGTCTATGCCTATGTATGCAATGTGCGTGTGTGTGGGGAGTGGTGGTGCAGCGGTTAGCACACTGTGCTACGAACCCGGCGACCTGTGTTCGATTCCCAGCCACGGAAAACAACATCAGTGAGTGGCAAGTGCTATCAGAACCTGTCCTGGGCCTCGCCTAGATCGACTTAGCCTTAAATTAAGTCCCTAGTGCAGTGTGTCAATATCAGCAGTTGGGGAGACAAAGGCAGCCGGGCACAGTGCTACCCACACCACCACCCCTTCGTGTTCTGTTCTAGCCTCGATAGGCTCTCGCTAATTGTACTTGCCCAACATCCTGTTTGGGATCTTTATCTTTTTTTGAAAATATTTAAGTTTTAAATGATATATTCACATAGGGTCAAGCTATTTCGTATCACATACACGTTACATGAATGCACACATATGCGTACGTATACGCACGTACATATGTGTATATCTGTATCACGAGATACGTCGCTTTAATTTGTACTATTGCTGCTGTGTAGATTGTAGCGGCCAGCAGTGGCTGTTGCCTCTGCTCCTCTCAACGACAATGGCAACTCCTTTGCCACTAAAATTGCTCCTTAATTGCTCAAACTAGTTGCATGCCACAGTACAGCTTGCTGGTCCGTTTTCAGCTGATGCAACTAACTGGCTATTGACGATGTTGATAGTTGGGAGTAGTAGTTGTTGGTGATAAAAGTTGCATGCAATAACATTTGCTTGTTCTAACAGTTGCTTGAGATTAAAATAGCTTGTGACAAACGTCGCTTTTGATGAAACTTGCGTGTTATAACAGTTGACCGTGATTAAAGTTGCTCGTGACGAAGTTTGCTGTTACTCCTGTTGCTGTTCAACACTTGCGCCGTTGGAAATCCATCAATCCTTGTTGCATGAAGTTGCTCCAAACGGGGAAACTCAATTCTTGCCGATATACTGCATGTAGACTGCATGTAAACTGCATTTATATGCTACATATGCCCGTGTGTCGGTGGTTTTTCAAACAAAGAGGTTATCTCACGGTGTGATCTGCAAAATAAACACATGGAAACACAAGTCAGAACCTAACAACATAAACACAATTAGGCCAATTTGTGGGGCCGTGTTTCGAATTTGTCAGAGGTGTAGTGATTCGCATGGGGTGGAGTGGTGGCGCAGTGGTTAGTGCACTGCGCTATGTGTGAACCCGGCTAACACCAGTGACGAGTCCTCTCTAAACTGCTCCAGTTTCCCAGACCGATTCGCCAATCCGCGCACCCACCGGCGTGGTTGGCGTAGGGAGAAGTGGCTCATTTGAGTCCTTCATCCAGGAGTGGATTCACTCAGAGTGTGTACATTTACCGTAATTTGCAATCAATCTATTTTTCAGTTGTGGAAGGAAACTGGTTGCGGGTTACAAGTCGACCACGTGTATCAACACAGTGCCTGCTCATACACAAAGCCACACGCGCACAGAAACATTGATACTGTACATGCAAAGGCAAAGATCACCCGCATAGCCTGCACAGGCTGCTGGGGCAAGTGTTCGTGTTACCAAGCACCCGCGAAGGCTGGCGCAAGCGCGTGGCGAGTGGTGTAGTCAGAACCACGACGCCCGATCGCCTTTGCCTCCCCCAGTGCTGATGTTTCCACAGCGTGCGCCGGGTACTTATTTCAGGCTGAGTCGACCTAGGGGAGGCCAAAGTTCAGATATTCGCCACTAACGGTTGGCCGTGAGCCGGAATCGGGTTTCAGTTGATGGGTCGTAGGGATGGGTTTATGATCTAGGGAAGGCTTAGGAACCAATATATTGAGTATAAAACTTTTTCCCCCAATCTGTTTCGTAACTTTATACTTTACAAAATTAGGGGTGCGTGTTACTCTCTGGAGCGTCTTATAATCCGGTGAATTCGGCACTATTGACTTGAAGGCAATGCATACACCTTTAAAAGACACTCAAAGACCCAATACTCTACCTGAGTGACACCCCACAACGCCTCCTTTCCACACTTGTCTTTCCGTATACACAACATCAGAAGTGCCAAGCTTGCTTGAACCAATGCTGGCAAACTGTAATGTAACAATTGGGTCATATTATATATACATTGGAGTACACAAAGAAAACATAATAGGTGACGTTTCTGGCAATGACCCTTCTTCAGAAGACCACATCATTTTTTTTTATAAATAGCTGAGACAGAATAATTACCGGAGAATGTTAATAACAAAATAAGCACCTCCTTTAAACATACCTGTCTCTCCACATTAAAGATAACAATATTTCATAAATATATACGGCAAGTGTTCGCTGAACACGTGTTTACACAACGCGTTTTCGCTATAACGCGTGTTTTCCTTTTTGGAAACACTTTTCGCATAATGCGGAACGCGCCGTTACAACGCAGAATTCACGCCGTCATAATGTAGAACGTGCGCCGTTATAACGCGGTTTCTGAGCGGTCGATAACAAACTACTTTCTTGAGCTGCGCAGAGTGATACAGTACGTGGCATGATATAGTCATGCGGCGGCAGCATACCCTCAGTAATTTGTCCCGCCACCTTGCTACGCGTCCATCGTATCTCGTCAAACTTTATCGTTACATTACGTATGGGGAAAGTGGTTTCACTTGACGCGCTTTTAGCTTTAAGCGTCTTTTGCTTAACACGAATCTTTTCAGGTACGCATCTACCGCGGCAAACGAGGACTCACTGTTTGTGTACAAGCCACCCACGGCCTATTGGGTGTGCAACCGTTACCTTGTGATAATTGTGTTTCTGCTCGTAGCTTTACCCTATGCTAGCAAAACAAATATTCACATCCTTCCGTGTGTCCGAGAAAACCAATCAAGTGAATCATAAATCCCTGCGTACCGTTCACTCCAAACTCGCCACGCAGCTATGTTCATAGGCTCACACAGAAACCCATAGACTCACACGGAGACCTATCGACTCACACAAAGACCCATCGAATCGCACAGAGACCCATTGACGCACATAGAGACACGCAGGCTCGCGGTGTGTTTCCACTTGAGATGACGATATTTGTCACTCTCCTTCGTACGGATATGAATTGAGTAGCAAACATGTATTTATCGATGTCTAAATTGTATATCCAGCTGCTGATTGCTGGCTTCAGAGGAGAGCCAAGGGTCTGCAGTCTATGCCACTCGTGTCCTTGGAGAATTCTCGCAATGAGACAGGAGCTCACACGGAGACCCATACTCACACGGAGACCCATAGACTCACACGGAAACACAGACTCACACAGAGACCCATAGACTCACACACACACACCCATCGACTCGCATGGAGACACGCCGACTCGCGATGTGTTCCACTCTTTTTTGCTGTGCCCCGCAGGCACGTTTGATTCATTATTTTATTTTCCATTCGTGGAGAGGTGACTGCACCTGCCGGGGTGAGTTGGCATCCTATTTAATAAGGGAGCACACTGCCTACTCGTCAATAACACTGTGGCCGTAAAGAGAATATTACATACAATAGGTGAAGCATTGAGCTTCTACAAAGCACAGAGATGGAGTAAATAATAGTTGGTGATCGCATTGTACACACTATACATACTATGGGACCCCGATAATATATAACATATATAGCAAAGATATATTAAGAAAATATAAGACTGTTTCCAGATTAACACTCTTAATTTGGCATATGAAGAAGAACCCATTTCGTGGATAATGAGTAGCAAGGTAAACCCTTCGAAAATCAAACACATACGCACGCGTCCATTGGTATTCAAAGTGAAATTGTAACAACAACGAAGGTTCCCGACACATTGCATTCCGGGTACATGTTTGGGACAAATTGTCAACGAAACACTTCCCAAGAAGTATATTTTACAAACACCGCGATACCCCTTGAGGTAGAGATGGCGTCACCACGCTGCCTAGCAGGGCCACGAAGCGAGCCGAGCGCACATTGCCCCGTGCGGTCAAATCTACCCCCCTAAATCACCTGAAGCTCACTTGTGTGAGCGGCTGGACAGCTTGCATTTACATTTACCTCGACAACTGGGGGGTGGGGGACAGAGCTGTTAGGGGGTCGCAGTGGCCGCTCAGTGGCCCCTAGACTTGAACCGTCGGCAATTGTGGGATTAAAAATCCAATCGCAGCCACTCGCCCCCCCCCAACCCCCCCCCCCCCCCCCCCCCCCCCCCGCGGACACGATATGACAATTAGAGGGGATTAAGAGGGGCTATTACAAGCTGCCCGGGGCTCGGGCTAAGTTGTGAGGTGGTGGTGGTGGTGGTGGAGGAGGTGGTGATTGATAGTGGCGATGTTGGTCGTTGCGATGATGATGATGGTGGTGGTGGTGTTGATAGTGATGCATGGTGACGATGGTGGTGGTGACGATTGTGGCGATAATGGTAGTGGTGGTGATAGTGGTGGCAGGTTTGTTGATGGTAGTTTGTAGTAGCTGTGGTGGCAATAATGGTAGATGCAGTGGTGATGAAGGTAGGTGATGGAGGTGGTGGTAGTGGTGATAAATGATTATTGCAGTGGAGGTGATGGTGGTAGTGTAGGTGATCGCCTTAATGCCGATAGTGGTAGTGATAATAAATTCGTAATATTTGGATATGGTGGCGTTTGCAGATGTTGTAATGATGGTGTTGGTGTTAGTGATGATGCTGCTTGTGGTGATGGTCGTGGTGATATTAGTGCGGGAGGCAGTAGTGCAGCGGTTAGTGCGCTGCACTACGATCCGGATTCGATTCCTACTCACGGCCACTAACACCAGTGATGATTATCTGAACTGGTCCTGGGCCTCCCCTAGGTCGACTCAGCTTCAAACCTGGTGAGGTGTGTAAAACATCGCCACTAGCGAGACAAAGGCGACCAGACGTGGTGCTGGCCACCCACCCCCTCGTGTGCTGTGGTGGCCTTCATAGGTGCTCGCTAACAGCAGTTGCCCGAACAGTCTGTCATGGTGAACCTCCTGAGAGAGAGACAAAGACACCCAATCGCAGAGCTTGAACCCAAGAGCTCACCTTTATCATCTCATTGAACCCACTGAGAGAGAAGGAGAGGCTGCATCCACCCACCGCACCTTTAAAGGTGGGGTGGCGAGAGACACGACGGTTTCCACCTGTGCAGGTTTGACCTGGGTTTGACCCGGGTTTGACCCGGACGGTCCAAGAATTGGCGCTCTGTGTTCGGGCTTCAGGAATTGATTTGTACCGAGATTTGGTAGCGGTGTTGTGCTGAACATTTATGACGCTAGACTGCCGTTTCTAAAGACCTGTAGGCTGACGGAGAAACGTGTCCGGGTTTGGTTTACAAGGGAAGAAAAAGTAGCAACTCTAGAGAAACCCAGAACTTCAGCGAAAACCATCTCTAACAAAGCCATTACGAACCTGCCGAGAGAGCCAGACACCCGAACGCAGGGTTGGAACCCAGGAAATGAAAATAAAAACGATGCCAATTTGTTTTTGATAAAGCGCCCTTCGATGCGCCGGGGCGTCTGAGAATTCTTTAACACCTTATCTCTACACATCCAAAAGGGCACCCCCAGTGGCAGCTGCCCCTGTGTCACACAAGGTGCGTCAAGCACGTGGCCTGCGAGCGGGCATTTTTGTCCTGGCAGTTGTGGGCAATGATTGCAATGTGGTCGAGGCTAGGGCACCCGCGGTGGCAGCTGTCCCCTGTGGGCGTATCCACAGTAATACCTCGATTTACGTCCCTCCCTTTTTACGTCGTTTCGCAAACACGTCGTCACTTTATTAAGACCGCTGCCTGATTTGCGTCGCCTCAACCCCACACGTACGTCGCTGAGAGCGTCGTCCATCCTTTCTCGTTTTCCGTCACCTCTCAGCCTTCGCCTCCACCACCGTACCCTGCTGATCGCCTCGATCGACGTCGTTCGATATTCGTCATTGCACCTTTCAGGAACGCATCCCCAACGTTAACCAAGGGTATTACTGGACAAAATATATCCCACATTGGATCTCGGCAGTGTCATCTCAACGTGCCTCTAACGAAGTCAATACGATGAGCCATAGTCGTTTTTTGGAGGGTTAGATCGCGTAAATATAAATGTGTCGTTAAACCCGCCGCCACCCGACATAGTCAATGAGTAAGGTTTATCGCGTAAAGAAAACATGCCAATTAGTCACTAGTCTCCCCCTTTTTACGTGGGAGAGTAAACCCACAACATTTACAATTCGAGTACAACCTTTTGCTTGTGATTACAACGAGCATCACCAGGAACACAGACCTACTGCATGGGGTCCGAACCCAGGATCTCAGGCAGTCTCCGACACAGCCATTATGAACATCCCATCCCCCCCAGGAGCGACCTGGCCACCGCGGGGTGTCTTATTCACTATTTTTGGCCGCGTTTCGTTCTCTCGTGTTTACACAGCCACGAGGTCCTGTTCACCAAGCCCCGCGGGTTCTAATCTGAGCGAGTGATCAGAGGCAGCCAGGATGGCTGCCGCCGCCGCCTCCTCCTCCTCCACCTCCTCCTCCATCGCCTCGCCCATCGCCCCGCGCAAGAGAGATGGAGGAGAGTGATAGTTGTGGTCGGGCAGGCGGCGGCGGTGGTGGTGGTTGTGTGGGGAGAGCGGTGGCGCAGTGATTAGCGTACTGCGCTACGAAACCAACTGTTATCCGAGTTCGATTCCTGCTCACGGCCAACCAACGCCAGTGATGATTATCCGAAATAGGTCATTGGATCCTCCCCCCTAGGTCGACTCAGCCTCAAATGAGTACCGAGTGCGGTATGTAAACATCACCACGAGGGAGACAAAGGTGACCCGGCATGATGTTGGCCCTAATTGCTATTAGCAAGCACGACCCACGAGAAGTTGGTGTGGCCATCACTTCCTTCCTGCTGATAGATCCTGTCGTTGTGGTAAAGTTGACACGCGACCTTATAATTACCGTTCTTAAGCCTCATCATCACCACCACTAGCATCACCACCACCATCAGTCCCATCCTCCCCCAACCACCTTGAATGCACTTACACTTCCGGCTGCACCTTTATATCGTCTTCTTCTCGTTCACGGCTAACATCCGTGGCGAGCAATATTTGTTAGAACTGGACCCAGGTCTCTGTGCTCGGTCGACTCAGTCTTAAATAAATTGGCAATTGTAAACATCGGCACTGGGGAGACAAAGGCCGCTGGGTGTAGTGGTGGTCACATAACCCACCTCGTGTGCAGTGCCAACCTGCATGGGTGCTCGCTAACAGCACTTCCCTCGATAGTCTGCTAGAGGCTATATCTTTGATGGGGCTCACGATATCATCTGAATGCACGTCAACCAAATGGACGATGGGCTTTGTAGGGCCGCTGACTGCATGGGGAGGCCGTCATCCACCAGTGGATAGACCATAGCTCGTGACGATGACCATCATCACCGTATTAAATATTGATAATTTTACAAATACCTGAACCACATATTAACAAAATTGTCTACGCGGAATCCGGTACTTAAAACTCGGCAAGGCGACAGCTGTATTACCGCATTCTCTGGATGATAAGACGCTCCGGAAAGTAACCTGTGCCCGGTGTCAATGAGGATCACACACACACACCGGATTGTAATACGCACGCCATCTATTGTGTTATTTAACATAACACGGGGAAACATGCGTGATATAATCCTGCGAAAGCAGTAGGGCGTTTGTTGCTCTTGGTAATGCGCAGATAATTTAAGAGACACTTTTACTGCAGAGTGGATATAAATGAATGCACTGATGATCACGATCGATGTTGTTTATTGTGATAATTTAGTCGTTCCAATTCAAGGAATCTGTACAAATAACTAAAATAGCTCATGCTCACCATATGACTCGCACACCACATACATAGATAGTACAGACACATATACTTATATACAGTACAGTATATATAAACGTACCTACACATTGTCCACATCACACAATAGACAAAGATCTCCGGTATAGCCTTAACAGACCGTTGCGGCAAGTGCTGTTAGCGAGTAGCACCTATGAAGGCCGGCACGGCACACTAAGGAGTGGGTGGCCAATACTACGCCCGACCGCCTTTGTCTCCCCACTATTGATGTTTAGGGACTCGGTACTCCTAGGGGACGCCCAGCACCAGTTTAGATATTTGTCGCCGATGTTGGCTATGAGCGAGGGAATGGACCTCGAGTCGCTGAGTTCCTAGCGAAGTGTGCTAACCACTGCGCAACCGCTGACTCACACACATACAAAGACAAAGATCCCCCCTATAGCCTTAACGGACTGTTGGGGCAAGTACTGTTAGCGAGCACCTATGAAGGCCGGCACACGAGGGGGTGAGCGGCCAACACCACGCCTTTGTCTCCCTAGTTGCGATGTTTACACACCGCAAAAGATACTCATTTGAGGCTGAGTCAACCTAGGGTAAGAGGACCGGTTCAGATAATCTTCACTGGTGTTGGCCATGAACGGAAATCGAACCCGCGTCGCCGAGTTTGTAGCGTAGCGCACTCACCACTGTGCCACCGCTCCCCACACAAACAAAAACCATAGACAAAGATCCGCCGTATAGCCTTAACAGACTATTGGGGAAAGTGCTGTTAGCGAGTAGCACCTATGAAGGTCGGGACGGTACACGAGGAGGTGAGTGGCCAGCACCACGCCCGATCGCCTTTGTCTCCCCAGTTGCGATGTCTTTACACACCGCACCAGGTACTCATGTGAGGCTGAGTCAACCTAGGGGAGGCCCAGGACCAGTTCAGATAATCGTTACCGGTGTTAACCGTGAGCAACCCTGGTCGCAACGCAGTAACCGCTGCGATACCGGTCCCCACACACATACAAAGATATGCACACACACATGCCCCCGTGCATACACACACACACTTATACGCACGTACAAAAAACGAATTCACACGTATAAACAGATCTACAAACACGATACCATACATGTACATAGACACACTTATGTCTCTTGTACACGAAAAGGTGCACATTTTATCATGTTCTAGGAGGGATAAAAAGATGGACTTTGTCACAAACATAGTCAAGGATTCTCCGTCGCAGAAAAATCTGAAAACAAAAATTTCTTCCCAATTTGGGTCGCGCAACATTTACAATGGGGAACTTTAGGCCCTCTGTCAATAACACTGCGGCCTTAAAAGAAAGCAA